CCGTGGTTTTTCTTTTCGCTCTAAAAGGTCAAATGTAAACAAGAGCCAACGATGTGATTGCACCCTAAGAATCCGAGGAATTTTCCAAATACGATGCTTCCCAGTCAATGGCCAACACGAAGATCTCGAGCATTAAAAATAGCCGCAGAATCTTGGCGCCGTCGAAAGAATCTCCCACCGCTTTGTTTTTCTCTGAATCAATAAGTTTTGCTGCACGGTGTTTTCAATTTCATTATTTTAAAATATGAACACACAGCTAGATGGAAACGTTTTAAGGAAGTTTGATTACAATTGTCCATTAATAGGTGGGGCAGTACTCAATTGGAAACAACTGTTATATAATATACATCTCGCAATTTGTACATCATGTCTCACTACTCTCTAAGCTCCCTCACTGATAAAATTTCAATATATACATTTTTTATACAATAGCTTCTTCCTAACGCTAACAACAAGTGTTCAAATACTTTCGTGAATTCCAGCTAAAGATTTTCGTTGGTTTATTTACACGTATTAATGAGGCGCGATCAAGAAATCACTAAAAAGCGGATGTTTCTTACGATTTCTTACGTACCTCTATTCCCGTCAACAGGGCTAACGGATGTTGCAACAGTAAATGACAAGAAACATCAAAGATCAACGAAACTGTAAGTTAATGTGGGAAGGGATAATAAATTGCCTTGCTCCTCCCAGAGCTTTGGAGTACCAAGTCTGACAAGAGTTGTTAGTACGGGAAAAAAAGAGGAGCGTAAAGGCTACATAGGAATCTTGGCGCCGGTAATACCGCTTGCGTTGCTTCGTTTTTCCAACACTTGAGCCGAACATTATGCAATGTCGCTATAAACTATGATTGTTATTTCGGGATATTGTCTGATTATGACGCAGGGCCGAAATGTTCAGTTACTTACAGGACATTGAACCTCTACACGTCTATCATTTCTACATGTCGTTCCGAAATCTCTAAATTAACGATCTTTGCTTGTTATTCAAGCTGAGAACTCAAATTGAAATTCCTCGGTAAATTTCGATATCTTGCGTATCGCCAAATCTTAATTGTTGTAAATAGCAGAATTAAGTACGTAGAATTTGAAATTACATTTCACGATTATAGTCGCGTGTGCAAAGTATGTTTCTGAATATTTATCACACGTATCGACAATCTAGCGGTAAGCCAAACGGTTAAACAAATAAACGCTAAAGAAATGTAATTTTATCGACAGCAATCTCTGTAATTTACTGGCTTGATAGAATAAAGTAGAGACGATAGAACGATTATATCTGACCGCATCATTAAATTGTAATCCTAGCTATTATATTCTATATAATTTGTAACCTAATTAGAACATGAATTCCACCATGGTATTTCGAATTCAGTTATATCGAGTAGGGACGTGGCTACGTAACCAACAAGTAGATAGAAAAGACATACTCGCAAGAGATCACCGTTATCCAAGACTAATAGCCGTAGATTAGACGGATGACATTTATTCCTATAAATCTAATTTCCTGTAATAATTCTGTGCTCATTAAATACCATCCTATCTCTTAACTCTGCGTGATATTAATGCGGTTAACTAAGTTTACCAGGTACAGTCGTGATAGAGTACCTTCTTGCACAGTGATACACGTGTTTGCAAGTCAACATCATACACGGTTATCTGTTTCAGAGTAACACGCGTGCCTGTGCTCCTGGCTCGCCTGGCTATCTAATATCGTTCGCCATAACGTCGACGATGCAATTATGGCACAATTGTAGGTACTGTGTGTGATACGCGCATTTGGATACTACAACTATCCTCTTATTAGCTATCCGCGATTTGCTTCAATTTTTCTATTTCGCGTCAAACGAGCTAACTCGAAGCAGATACTCCACGTCCAGCTATGCGAATAATAAGTGCTGAACGCCGATTAGTTTCGTGTCTGAGATTCAATTCATTCAGACACGGAGGATTTATTCAAGAATAAAAGATTGAGACAAGGACAAGGTGATAGATAGTTTCTCTAGATGCCCAGCTACTTACGACTTTTATCTCTTTGGAAAATCTTATTAATCTTTACCTACAACAGACTCGTAACAGACTGTGTACTCTGCTGAAATTCATTTACGTTCCAAAAGAATTACATGGACTAGCGGTATGTTCGAGGAAAACGTGAAAGTATATCCAACTATGTTTCTAATAGAATAAGCAAATCAGTGGGAACAACGAACGCGTAAAGATTGAAATTCAACGACCTTTTCCGTGAATCGCGGAACATGTCATCAGATGATTCAGCAAGTGAACGAACTTGCAGTAACAGGGCAAAACTGTACGTATGCTGCACCAATCGCGATACAATAAATCATTCTACTGTGGAAAGAAATCTCCATTTGGCAATGTCCAGATTCGCCTTTCACGGCTGAAAGAATGAATACAAGCATTGATCAGGGAGATATCGAGCGAACGAAACTTTTGTTCGATGCCAACTGCACGGTTCTTCGACCTGCCCAGAAGACTAGAATCCCAGAGTAAATCGCATTCCAAAAGTGGAACATTAGTTTTCTACTTATCAGACATCGCTGCGGCTCCTCCAAGAGAATACAAGTTTGCAGCGAACTTCTGAAATTTTGGCAAGTCCCACGCATCTCATGTTTTGTGCACGACATGCATCGATCTTTCACGTTTTATTAGCGTCTCTGGCCATCGTGCCAAATGAAATGCCAGAGAAAAGTGATAGAACTTTTTGTGCAGAAAAACTCCTACTTGGAAAGACAAGTATTCTTTAACCTGAGTGGCTGCTCATTCTTTCAATTCTATCATAAAAGATGAAAAAAAAAAAAAACTTTTCGCGTCATATAATAAATAATACAGTCGAATCATACTTTTTTATATTCATTCTAACATTGATGAAAGAATTATCAATTCTCTCTCGAAAAAGATAATCATTGTCTCGACCTTTCTTCGTGTTCGTTCTCTCCATCTTTCCAAATAACGACTAGCAACACGCGGAGAATCTACTAAGAAACTAGCAACACGCAAGATCGGCGTAATAGACTCGTTTTCGCGTTCGCTGGGAAAATAATCGGCACGACAGGGAGTTGAGGAAACGTCAGCAGGTGCACGTGGGTGCATATGTCAAACGTCGAAACGTGTTAGAACGTTTCGTCGCCAAGTTCGACGGTGCATATCGCGGCGTGGCCGACTCGGACCGAGCGGAGCCGAGCGCGCGTGGACCCGTTCCAAAGTAAAGTCGGTTGGCATTCATCACGTTTGGATTATTCGCCTGGGATTTTCGTCTCTCGCCTCGTCTCCTCGCTAAATTTATGTGCCGGCGATCATTACGCACTCTTGCCCGTTTTATCGGCTAATTCGCCAGCCTCGCTTTCCACGCTTTATACCTATATCCGCGTTTGTCGTTATCCGCTGCGAGATCATCGTCGTCGTCGTCGACACTCATACACGCCTGGGAAAGACCAGCTGCCACTAACGTTCCGCGTAGCTATCTGCTTTGCTCTCGCAATTACGTGAAATCGGCGCTAAAGCGTACCAGTCTTACTGGCTCATTAAATAATAGCACTGATTACGCGGCAGCCTCTAACGATACGTTCGTGATTTATATCAAGCTTGTGCGCGTGTCTAGCGAACGATATTCAGCAATCCAGAAAGCGTGGAAATGTCTATCGGGTCGATCAAAAAGTTCGTAAATAAACCTTTCTGATGCATGATCTCTTTTATTTGTTGAATCTCACTTCACGTGTCCCTCTTTGAAAGGCTAGCATGTTACGAATATCTTCGTGAAATTTTCTTTTTACCGTTAAACAAATTTTGTAAAAACTAAGGTAAATAATGGCGATAAGTCTACCTTAATCCTGTTGAAAAGTAACGCAATTTTGAATTACTGCATTGATTATTTTATATACGAGTTTCAACCTTATCATTTCTCAAAGAAAATCGTAGTAAATATTCATTTTCTACTAACACTAATTTTTCCAATTTTCACCTGATATTACTTGTGCAGAGTGAGTCACGTCTTTTTCTATACTTCCACAAAACAACGAAGATATTTTAAGTTCTAGCCGTAGATGATTCACCTTACATTTCTCTTTACGTGTTTTTTTGAACAAAGTGTAGATAATAAAGCGAGATGTACGAGGGAAAACTACTTAACTTTAGCGATCATTTTTGCAGACACAACTATATAGTAGTTATGTCACGATGTAGGTTCTATTTTCTAATATCGTGAAAAGACACGCGTTGAAACCATGTAATATACGAAGCAGATTTACACTTTGATTTGTGTTTCTTCTGCTTTCTCTGCTTTACATCCGAGCGCAAAGCACGTAATAACTTCTCGATCGTAATGTATTTTAATAGTGGAAACTGCAAATAGAGTGATCCAGTGCAAATAAAAATTCGAATAGCTGCTTTGTCTATCTTTTCATCGGTTCACCTGGATGTATTTAATTATTCCTAAAAACCGTTCATTTATGCAAATTATCATAAATAACTCAACACCGTAAAACACATACTGGAAATATATCTTTTTCATCGACATCTACAATTCGTTTTATCCTATAATTACTATCTTGGATAGATTTTTCTAGCAATTTATAATTTAAGGCACGTATGATGAAAATGAATGCTATCAATTCAATTTAATAAATTAAAAAATTAAAATAGTGAAAGGCATTGAATTATTAAATACCAATAAATGCCTCTGTAGAACAGATACTGTATCAATCACAGAGATTATAAATTATGCGAATAGAAATATTCATACTTGGAATATTGAGTTACAAAATCGACGCAAAAGTAAGTCGTGTCTTTGGCCGGTGAATGGGTTAATATCGGCGAGACGAACAGGTATCAGCGAGCGCAAAAATCTCGAAATTCTAGTGAAAAGTATATGTGCGGAAAAATACGAATAAATCAAGCACGCGTATCTATAACGGGTTCTACCGTTCTTCCGCGTATGAAATGGATTCCGATCGATAGACGACGGAAAATAGATAATTACGAACAATGCCGGGTGCTAGACGAGCAACCTTGGAACAGGAAGCTGAGGGTTGTGGTGCTATACAACGTCTTCGGTTACCATCAACCACAGATCTCTGTTTATTCGTCTGATATCTTGTGTCTGATATTAGTTAACTTGGCGTCAACTCGACCAGATAAATAAATGTTAACGTCACGCAGTCGTGGAAAAGGTAACACGATCATACGAGGCTACGAGGAAGCAAAAGGAACAGTGCCTTTTCACGGAAACGCTGGATACCTCTGTTTGTATCGCAAAGCATCAAAATTCTGTCTACTTTCCCTTCTAACTTATATATAACGGAATATGTAATATTTCAAAGTAAAAGAATACCATCGTCAGATTGATAAATGATTATTTCTGTTTAATATCTTTGTGATTGAATCTTGAGACACATATAATGAGCATATATAATCTAAACAAGAAATCAATTCTTTGGGTGACTGTTGATATTCGAACTAACTTTATTTAAAGTTATCAGTAGATTTGTTATCTAACGATTACTATAGCTTGTGTTTGTGATATATTTTAATAATTATTCTTTGTATGACATTTTTCTTTGTGTTTAAAATAATCTATATATAAACATTGAGCACTGAGATACAGTTCTATCAGAAACAAAATGCTTCACGCAAAAACAAAAAATGTAGATTTCAAACCTCTTCAATGAGTGGAAATTTTACGACGAAAAGTTATTTTAATACTCTCATTGTTCAAATTTCAGTGAAAGTATGGCTATACGAGTAACATCAGACATAATTCGTTAGAAATGCGCCAATTTTGTTAAATTGTTAAATCTCTTTCACACGTAATTGAAATCTGACATTTGATTCGTGCATTTCCATTATTTTAGGTACATTACATGTGGTGCAGTTGTTCTCAAAGGATGTAAAATGTAAATCACAATCTTTCAATTGTAAGAATAACCATCAAGAGATGTGTACCATAAATAAATTTAAACATACATCGACAAATTTGTCTAAAGATTCGATTTCCTGTGAAAAGTTGGCCAAAGAAACAGTGGAACAAACTCAAAAGCAGGTATCTAAAATATCATTTCATATTATAAATTTAATTTTGCAAAAGATAATTTCTAACATTGAATTTCTACTAATGGAGCAACGTATTTCTTTATTCTTTCTTTTTCTGATTAAATCATATTTTCTATTAAGGAAAGTTACAAATTAAATAACTATGCATTGGTTCATAAAATTCATCCAAATGATTGCCCACTACGTAACAACGTGCCAGAACGAGAAAAATGTACCGAACTTGACGACATATTGGCAAAATGGAATATCTATAAACCAAAAAAATGATATTGTATGAAATATTTTTGTGTGAACATGTGTCTATTGTACGAGTTGAATGTTAAATTTTATGTCGTCGTAATTTGTTAATTTAAAATTTGTGCAAATGTAAAATTGTTACGTAAATAACGTAAACTATGAAATAACTGTTCTAAGTACTACATATTATAATTTATATAGATCTCATAATTAGAAAAATATTAAAAAATTCCCAGCAAGTGTGTCAAGATAAAAGATCTATAGCAAAATATAATATGTAAGAAATGTAAATAAATAATACAAATATTACTATACAAAAAATCTAGCAAATACGCTTCATTAACGGTATGTATTAGTGTTAAATGAAGATATCTCTCGATACATGCTTTTGATGAACCACAAACGGCTCCCGTCATGGTGCTTTGCAAATTGGCAAACACTACAGAAGATTCATCTCAAAGCAAACAGCATCTCTTAGTGATAGCTAAATTTTACACTCATTAATCAAACTGAAAGTTGCACAGTCTATTTGAATATTTCGGAAAATTAAAACAGTCAAAAATGAAAGAAATATTTGATTTTATATATTTTTAAATATATTTGTATATATCGTGTATTTGTTAAATATGCATGTTATTTCAATAATTAAAAATATTGACAAATGTCTTTTTCAATCTTTAAGATATTTATTTTGAATATTTTTCTAATTTTGTGAATTTTTTTTTTTTTAATGAGCGTAATTATTACATGTAATAATTTATGTTTCTCAACACAGGAAAAAAAAGAAAATATTATGAATATTAATCAGAGCGAAAATAATCATATTCCCATGCAAAAATAAAGGATAGAAAGGAAAGATAAAGAATTTACGTAAGTATATAAATAAATGTATAAATGCTCAAGATGAGAGGCATCGTCGTCAACCCGAAACAAAACATGTAAAGATAAAATACGTGGAGTGTTCTAGCAGTATCCGTCATTCTCGTAGGAAAGCTAGATCACGTGGTAAGATTTATTATTTCTGTATCTGGGTCAAATATGGCGTCTTCGCAAAATACTTGAGTTAATTGTTTGTCTAAATACCAGAGAAAAAGGATTTTTCGATCCTAGAAATAGTTTGACATATCAATGAACCCTTTGATATATCCAAACTTAACCTGAATTTAATTTACTTCAATATTGTAACATATCCCCGATTATTTGAATTTATTATTAAAAATGTTTTAAAGACATTTGTCAATATTTTTATAATTTGACTGAAAATCGATGTAACCAGGAATTTAATACCATTAAAACATGCAATGAAATCAACTTTCGATATCACTCACCCACACTGTTGCAGGAAGAAGTGCCAAAGCTTTTCCTATTTTGACATAAAAGCAGCTTCAAACCATGTCATTAGTAATTCTGCATGAATCTAAACAAAACACAAAAATTCGCAATTTATTTTGAGAATCAATGTAATCAGGAATTTAATACCAGCATTAAAACATGCAATGAAATTAATTTTTGTTGTTACTTACCCATACCATTGCACAAGGAAACTACCAAGTTTTCTCTATTATGGCATGGAAGCAGCTTCCTATAAAAAAATTTAGAAAAATAATAACTTTAATCACTTTCCCCACTTGTTTAATATGATAATCGTGATATATGTATTTAATATAATAATTGCGATTCTATATATGCATTATAATGAATAGATCTATATTCATTATGATTCTAAATTCTAAGAACATTAATAGATTTCAATATGGGTAATTTGAATTTCAAAATGGCGTTCAACAATTCCAATAGAAGTCAACCAGTATGAAGCCTATCGGTGTAAATTTCATAAAAAATTATTCAGAAATTCTTTATTAAAAATTAAATATTTACATATATTAAAACAAATATATGAAAAAACTGATTAATAATATTAACATTAATTAATAAATATTTTATAGACAAAATAAAAGCATATCTTCCCGGGTTGCGTCATATTTGGAGTTATAGAATGAAATAATAAAATCTATTCAAATTTAATTAATTTCGAAAAGTAAACATAATTTGAGATTGTTTATGACTAATTTATACTATTTTAGTTACCTTTATGTGTCATTTGACACAATTTAATGCCTCTCGAAATGGGAGCATTAACATCTTTCTGTTCCATACTCGTCACCACACATTTGAACTGTAACGAATTTTTAGATCGATCATAATGGCGGCCGTTGCTAAGCAACGATTCGTATTTGTCACATATTACGTATAAATATATAAATATTACATATTTTTCTTTACACTCACAATTTTGAGACAGTAAATGTTTAAAATTCAACATATTTATTACTGCTATCACATATTTTATTATTATAACAAATAAAATATGTATTTTTATTATAAGAATAAATCGAGAATATTTGCTTCCATTCGACAGAAGTGTTTAACAAGATGCTATACACATGTATTAGACATAAATTTAATATTCATCTAAATAAACTAGCACAAATTTAAGTGTTTTTGAATAAAACTACTCACCAAGATGATGACCATATGAATCCTCTGAATTCATTTCAAATGACACTTTGCAGTTTGATCATTTATTCAGCATCTGTATTGTAACAAATATTTCACACTTTGATGTTTGACTGTTATCAAATATTGCATTTCGTAAAATAGAAAAGAGAAATATTTACATGTTTTATATGTCCGATCATTTAACGATTGTAGTATTTTAGATATCTTTTCAACGAAAATATTTGGTTAAGATTGTTTTATCTTTTCGAATAGGTTAACATTAACTCACCGTCAAATGATACGTATTGGATTTCATTCACATGTATTTAGAATCTGTTAGAATAAACAAATTTAACTACCTTTATTACCTTAATTAGAATGGTATGTAAACTATTTCTTGAATTTATCCAAACGGTAGATTCTACTTGTTGTACTTGCAGTAATAACGAATCTTCTAGATATCGATGTGCTACACGCTGATTGGTTGACACAGAAGCAATGCACTCTACATTATACATCTAGATCTACATATTTATGAAATATTGAATTATTATTTTAATAATTTATTGTGTATTATACACTTGTATAACTAGATCAAACTGTTGAATATTTATTTATTTAATGATATAAAATAAAATATATTGTTATTAATGAAAAAAGTATATATTACATTCATGACTATTGTATCGATACATTGATCAATATTATAGGGAAATTACTATTAATGAAACTAGAAAAAAGGCGCGTAAAATTTAAATGCTTAAGTAGAATTATTATGATTAAAAAAGGTGCTCCTACGTCAATACTTTAATAATTTTATTACTCTTATATATTATTTATGAAATATATTGTTTATAAATGTTGAAATATCAAAGTGAAAATGTAATAATACGAAATTGGTAATATATTAAAAAAATGAACATTTCAATTATCGTAATTAGAAATTCAATTTATTATTAATTTATCGTATTTTCAATATTTCTTCTGTACAAATAATTTCCTGCATTGTGATAATTTTTCATTTTCATTAACGTGACATGTCTCGCATTATTTCGAACTAAAATTTGAAATGTGTTGCTAATCCCTTAAAATAGTTCCATCTAAAATATAATAAGATCGAAGTTTTACCAAATTACAAAGCCCTTAATGCTCTGTCCGTGATTTATGATGTACGTGGGTGTGTACAAAGGAACGAGCACGTGCAAATTCGATGCTTGTGCTTAACGGTAACGACATGCCACGCGACGCGACCGATCTGGTCTTTTGGAACCATGAAAGCTCATGTTTGTGTCTGTTTGACAAGCGGTCAAGCCACTTTGTCACGTGTGCGACGTGTTCACGTTAAATAATGCCGACCCGGGGTTACGCGCCCGATCTCATTGATATTCCATTTATAAGGAGCGCGAGCAAATACCATCAATACTTGCAAGTAGGCGCCGTGCAGCAATGATCACTACGTACTTTCTATTCCTTTGTAAATTCAATCCATTGCTTTGTTATATCCTATTTTTATATCGTTCTCGCGGTACAGGATCAAATGTTTCTATTCCAAACGTTTTCACATATATTGATGTATACTAGGTTCGAACAAATTACAGGAACTATGGAGAGAAACAATTCACGTTATGAAATATCACAAAATTTTGAGAATTTATGTTGCTTTCAACAAAGCGAAACAATAGTATGATAACACAGATTGTGAAGTAATAAATTAAAATAATTAAGTATTGTGTTAAAATGTATTTTACCATAAGAAAAAACGATGAATGTGTGAAACAAGATGGAGCGTAATGTTGTATTTTACGATTAATAAATATTTCTTTGCAAAAGTAACATCGCGAATACTGCTCGATAGTATGGATGTTTCTCTTTCTGGAGATATCTCGGTCAAAGGCAGAGTTTTTAAACTCCGAAGAGATACTCCACGAAGCGAATATGACACTCACCAAATTTACATCCGTGAACTCTGGTGAACTCCTGAACTCGTTGTCTTATCTTTTCTTTACGGACAATAACAGAGGAATGTCATCCATCGTTGTACATATCATTGCTCACCGGTTATGTCTTCAGCTTACGGGACTTTAGGACACACTCCTGTCTCTTTTTGCAATGCAAATTATTCAACCCGCAATTTAAACGCCCTCGCAATTGAATTAAAATCCAGACACAAAATGGTAAGGTGCTGTTTCCGTTATAAGCTGAATTTCATTTGCTTTATAATATAAACAACTTTTGTTAATGTTAACGATATTATCGTAACATAAATTTACGTATTTACGTTAGTTTTATTAAAAATATGATATGGATGTAAATGTCAAGAGAAAAAAAAAAATATTGCCACTTTCTTAGCAGAGCGTGGTTTCGATCCACGGACCTCTGGGTTATGGGCCCAGCACGCTTCCACTGCGCCACTCTGCTCTTGAGTATAAGGTTATGTAAAAATAATTAAATAGTACAAATATGAAAAAAATGCAAATTTTAAAAAATAAATATCACAATAGAAATATATATACAATCATTTACATGATCGTGTTGTTCTTTAATATACTTGAAAGTCAAAAAACTTTTCTAAGGTAGAATTTAATAAAACAACCATGTCGTATGACTCAATATTTATTTTATAAATAATATATCTTCTATAAGTTTATACTTTTCCAGCAACAACTCAAATTGCATCATCGTTATGAATTATAAATTCAAATATTTATTCAGATCTTTTATTTGTAATATTTGTGTCCTTGCCTTCCACGAGATTCAGAAGATTTATTCGTCTCGCAAGAAACAATTAAGATCTAAGAAAGAATGTTTGCGTGATTGGAAACGACTTTGTTAAGATGCTACCTGTGTATACCCTAAAGCAAGTAACCTAAACGGTGCAACGTAGATCAACCACCTGGGTCGAAGTATGGAGATGCAAATAAGTATCTTCAGTCGATCCAGGTGCACTCTCCTTTTAAGATCAGTAATCTTAAACTAGCCTCCACCTATACAATGCTGAGCCACGTGCTTCAGCTCAAGTCATGGATTTACATTATTACTAGTCTACACCATTTTCTAAAGACAAAATAGATACGACATTATTATTCGAATCTTCGTGTCTTTCGTGTACATCTTCGTATAGAATGCGCGCGCAGTAATTTTATTTGGTACAGATTACAGCGCCACTCGAACGATGAAATACGCAATTATATGAATTGCGATTCTCGAACGTAATCGATATTTCTCGCGAACAATTCACAATATTGTGTCGTGACTGTGTGTAACGTAGAGACGTACATTTTGACTGGAAAACACAACAAGAAGACACATTATCCAGAAATTGTCAGGTAAAGATTATACTCAATAGCTCTTAGTAATAAATACAACACGATTTAAAACAACGTGTGCATTATTAATAAGAATTATACATACATGTTCAATCTAATTGTCAATGTTCATTAGAAATGAACAAATGTAATATTCTTATAAAAGACTTCATAAAAAATATGAATCCGCATAAACAGTGAGATGTTACATATAGATATTTATATATATGAATGTGTATAATTAAATATTCTCGTAAAATATCCTGCTTTTCCATAAATCAGTCGAATGCTATTCGTGCACAGCCAAGACTGTGCCCCCACCCCATCAAATTCGTTAGCGACGCGAACCTGTTGCGCAGGAGATAGTTTTGAATCAAAAATCATGGCGTCAAGATGTATCATCACGCGTCACGTTTATTAATTAATTAATTAGTTGCGTAATCGTCAGAATAATACTATAATAATTCATATTTTATTCAAGATTCTTCGCTGCTTCCATTTCCTCCTGTTCTCTGGAAAGGATTTAATACTGCTTCAAAAGCTAAGGATGTAAGTAACCTCTATGTTCATTGTTATTAATTAAACAATAGGATCTAATTGTAAATTTGACAAGTTTTAATTTTCCATTCTTGAACTGAATGTTGTCTACTATTAAAATTTCATATTTAAAAAAGAGATTCTTTCATTATTTCAAACTTGCTAAAGAATTGACACTGTGCGTTTCGTTTTAGCTTTCAGTTTCTCCATGGAATGACGAACTTGACAATAACTTCCCTAGCGCTACAAGTACATTGATAACATCTTCGCATCTAATGGTGAGTCGCATGTACTTTCAATATTGAAATAACACTTGAATCCTCCCCGAATTCTTTATTGATCCCTATTTAACAAAAATTTGACCAGAGGTAATGTAATGTCTTTCGACATTCCGTTCTTGCAAACGACAGTGCTCCCGATATGCATATAACTAACGAGAAAGAAAACACTGTCCAATTTTTCTGGCTTTGCATGAGGTAGAAGCTTATACATTGAGATAACTGTAGGCACTCGCGAGTAGTGGCAGGCTCTCTATCGGCCGCGATAGGATCACGTTTTAATTTAATGTAACCCTGTCCGACCATAGTCTGTTATAACCGCGTGTGTCCGTGTGCACGGCTGCATCTCGCATGGACACGTTTCGATTCCGCGATCGTTTCAAGCCTCCATAAAGCGTTGGACAAGTACATAAAGCGTAACAAAGTAAGACGCGCGTGCGTGGCGAGCCGGTGACTCCCCCGATGCAGTTCCTGGTGACGTCTGACTAAGCGTTCTATTTCGACGCACCCTCGGAGGCCGTGTGAGTAATCCCCGGACCACATATATCCGCGCAGGTGGAACTCGTTCGAGGATTCTGCGAGTTTTGGATAGATGGCCGAAAAGTCATGTTCATGCGTGGCCCACCCTATAATTATCGTCCCGATATTATTAACCACTTTCTGCCGTTCCCATTTTGGCGTTACCATGCTACTAACTGGTACGCTAAGCGATAAGGGTCTGGGCAAAATATTCATGTCAGTTAATTGATGTTAACGCCTGCGAGCATTTGAGATATTATTTATAACGCTTGATTATTCATAATCGTCGCAATTGCAGTTGATTTACTGACAAGATCGTCCTATTGACAATGCGCGCACGGAGATTTGAGACGATGAAACTTGTATTAAATGGGCTACGAATTTAGATGATTCTGTTAAAGTTTGATTGTTCCACT